ACTGGTATTCAGAGGCAGCAATACCTAGGTGTACCTAGGAACACTTGAAACAGTGTCTTAGTCTCTGGAGTTAGGATCTGAAGTACTGTGGCAATCCTATACATAGACAAGCTCCTATTGCCTCCCCTCATCTGGTAGCCAACACACATAGCCTCTGATGAACAAAGCTGGACTTAACTGACATTCTGTAGCCCAAGGTCTTTGACTCTTATAGCCATTCTTCAGTGGCCCTTTTATATTCTATTTTCCCAGAAAACCTCTGATAGTAGGGCAGGAAGTCAGCATTTATTGTCTCATTAAACATTAGGAGAATTTTTAAATCCTTGGGGCAGTCTGGCCCATGTAAGTTGCCCACTGTAACTGCCCTCTGGGTCTGTCCAGATGTGTTGACTCACTTCTGCCAAAAGGAAGCTGAAGAATGCATCTTTCTGACCCATGACAGTGTACACCTGTTTTTTTCTGGAACAATCATACTCATGAGAACCAGAGGCCCCAGGTTTCTTCACAGGCAGGAAAGCTATATTCCAGGGTGAATGGCAAAGCACTTTCCAAGCCAGGCAATATGGACTTTTTTCCAGGGTCATTGGGTATTGTTTAATCTAGATGGGGGTAGTTCAACTGGTTAGTTGAACAATTATAGGAACACATGTTGGGTTAGTCCCGAGGGTGGTGGGGGGTTGGCTTCTGCCTGTATCCCCAGGAACATTGTTGTCAATCTGAGGGATAGTCCAACTGTATCTCTTCTGGTTGGAGGCAGGACTTTCAGTTAGGACATTTTCTTCTGACAGAGTAAAACATCAAACCTGACAGGTATCTGTAAGTCTTATTTGTCCTTTGTCAGAGGTGATGGTGACTTGCAAAAGGTCTTGTCCCAACCAGTCCTCTGTTGTCAAACATGCTTTTGAGCTACCTTCAACAACTGGGCCCTACTTAAACCTGTAATTTTTTAAAACTTTTTTTCTAGTATCTGGGACAACAGGATGGGACACAGGTCTTAAATCAGGGGGTGGGGTCTCACACCAGAGAAAGCCACTGATCAATACAGGAAAACAGAACTGGCAGAAACACAGAGAAAGCCACACACACAGTAAAGAAAACCAGGGGTGGCTACCACACATTTATGCCTTAGACAGAGAATTCAGCAGCTGTGTCTGACCTCTCCTGTGTGTCCAAACAGAAGGTGCCTTAAGCAGACTTACACTAAAGGTGACAGATGAGGCATCTTTTTAACTTGTTCTCTTTTGAAGAGTTAGGCAGCAATTGTTCAAAGTGAATCCTGGAACCTGGAACATCTCAGGTTGTGTACCCCCCAGGAGCACCTTGACCACCACACTCTTCCCTGTTCTGAGATCTGAGACTCCTAGTGCCTCAAGTTCTGGTCTCTGAGGATCTAGTTGGGGCCTCCAGAAATATTGTGGGATAGCTACCAGAGAAGACTGCTCAGACATGGGTTTGAGCCAATAAAAAATCTTTATTAGCTGGCTGGCAACTACACGGTGGGGGGGGGGGTTGAGATCCCAGTGTAGCCCCAAGCCTTTCTCGGGGTCAGTTTTTAAGCATAAAAATCCATTCTGGGTTGACACACTTCAGCTAACAAGAATAGTTAGGCAGAAGCAGAGCTACAGAAGTCAAAAGGCAAAGTTAGCACATTTAGAGACTGCCCTAGCTCTATGAACTTCGACTGACTAGGTCTTGTTCTCATTCTGGCAGGTGGGACTGTCCATGTGCTGAGTTCTATGTCCTTGATGGTACTTTTACCATGGGGTGAGTTGTGCTAAGGCCTGGGGCCCCGTTACAGTCTATTACAGAGCTAGGGATGAGACTGGACTTGGAGAAGAGGGAAGAGATAAGATCTACAGCTAGCCTATTTCCTTGGCTGCAGAGTGTTCTCATCTTTTAAATTGAAGTACAAATACATTGGAATGAAAGGGGAAAGTTTAAAGATTTTTACTTATGTGTACAAGTACTTTCCATATATGCATGTCTGTGTACCACGTGTGTGCTTGGTGTCCATGGGGGCCAGGCCATGATGCCAGATCTTCTGGAACTCAAGTTACAGATGGTAATGAGACAAACCTATATCCTCTCCAAGAGCAGTCAGTGTTCGCAGCCATTGAGCTGTCTCTGCAGCCTTTGGGACTGCTTTTACCTTGGCCATTTCTAACAGTGCCTGTGGGTGAGTGGTACCTATTCTTATTTTTATTTGTTGAAACAGGACCTCACTTTGAAAACCCTGGCTGGCCTAGATTTACTCTGTAAGCAGGCTGGCCTGAATGCAACTATTAATGACTTGTACACTCATACCTGGACCAGTGCCTACTGATTTGTTTTGACACAGGGTCCTCCTACGTAGGATTTGTAATCCTATTGAAATTAGTGCTGAAATTATAGGCATGTGCTACCACAACCACTTATTTTTAATTCTCTTAATTGTATTTTGCATGTATATCATATGTGTATACGCAGGTATGTATATGGTCAGAGGACAACTTTGTGGGGTTGATTCTCTCCTTATGCTTTTAGGTGGATTTGGGTATCAATCTCAGGTCACAGGGCTATGTAACAAGTGCTTTATACCTGCTGAACTACCTCGATGCTTTTATTCTTTTGAGGTGGGGCACCTGGCTATATTGCCCAGGCTGCCTCAGAAGGTCTAGGCTCAAGTGGTATTTTTTTCCTTGCTGGCTTGTCTTCCCCAAGTAAAATTTGGCAGTTTGGACCTGAAAACCCATTCCCTCCTGGGATACTGAAATTAACATAACCAATCCATTTACCTTCCTGCCAGTGACCACACTAGGGCTTTCTAACACTGAATTGTGAGAGATAATAGCACATTTCTCCTTTGTTAGGCTAGCTTAATTTGGGCAGAACAGTTTCTTCTGATGTAGCAGCAATCTGATATTACCATCCAACATCAGCAGAGGCAAGTCCAATGTGTGAGTCCTAGTTCCACTTACTACAGAAAAGCTCTCTATACTTTGGAACACTTACTAGAAGGCATACTCTAATATTAGGTTTCATAATATAATTTATCTTTCTTCCAAGACAAGGAAAGTCTCATGTACACAGACTGGTCTCAAAATCTGTTCTGTAGCTAAGAATGATCTTAAACTTCTGATCCTCCTGCCACCTCCTCCCTAGCATCAGGGTTACCCTGTGCCCATGCCCAGTTTATGTACTCCCGGAATCAAATCCAGGATTCACAACCTCCCATCTACAAAAATAACCAAGACACAGCTCTACGTAGGGCAATGGGAAAAGGGAGGCTTCTACATTGCCAATGTTTACTTCTGAGAAAGGCCAGAAGGCAGCTCGTTAATGTCTTCTGTGTACACTGGTGAGTCTAGGTAGACCAGTAGGAACGGAGCTATGGACGACTGTCCAAGCACCATATCATTTGACTTTATACCATTTTACTTTATATAATTTATTCTGTTAAAAACAAGTTGAGTCAGGGGAGACAGCCAGTTATGGACCTACCTTGCAAGCACAAGGACCCAAAGTGTGATTCCCAGAACCTACATTAAAACAAAATAAAAACAGAACAGGGCATGGTGGCACATACTTGTACCCCAGTGCTAAGGAGATGGAGACAAAGGACCTCTGGGGCCCCCTGGCCAGCCAGCCTAGCCTACTTGCTACATTTCAGGCCAGTGAGAGACCTGTCTCAAAGAACACCCTGAGTAACATCCAAAGTTGTCCTCTGCATACATACACACAAAAGATGTTAAGGACAAGAGAGTGAGGTCCATTTAAAGAGGGTCCCAAGCACAGCCCAGGCTGACAGTAACCTTCATGTATCATGTGTCAGAATTATAGGCACTACCCAGCTTTAGCTTGCAGTTCCTTAGAAACCAGATAATATGGCACAGTGGTCTAACCCTGAGCCATCCATTATGACAGCCACTTCCGTTATGTGGTTACTGAACATTTAGAATGTGGCCAACTCAGATGTGCTATAATATATAGGATGAGAAAATACTAAGTATCTCATTCTTATGTACTGAAAGGATATGTGCTGGATTGAATAACATTTCTTTTCTTCCATTTGGGGACTGAAGCCAGGACTACCTGACCAATTCTGCTTTTAGATGTGGCCACTAAGCTGTCTCAATACCACACTTCTATCAGACAGTATTGCCAGAAGACACTTGTGACCTGACCACATTTATCAGAATCGTATTCTGTAGTGTAAATAGGAGCTTCTGCTGTTAAACATTGTAGCCAGTGATATTTGCTGGCACATTTGAGATGTGATACCACTAAAGTCTACTTAGGAGAATACGGTAGATAATTGTCAAAAGAAGAGAAAGAATCAGCAAAGACGAAGCCCTTACTGCATCAGCAGCAACACTTCCATTTCCTATTGAAAGAAATATTTGCTGAGGATCCGATGGCTTTTTACAACAGCTCTTTTCCAAGTAACGACTTGCAACTCAGGATTTCTCAATGCTTTTGCTAGTAGGATACCAGACTCAGTTACCTGCTCAAGTAACTAGGTCAGCAGATTTCTTACATCTTGAGTCAAAGGAGACCTATTCTACAATCATGCATGACAGTAAACACAGGGTCCTTTCCCCTTGTTATATTGACAGCAACTTGGATGTAAACTGTCCCTAATGAACACTTGCTTTCCCAGTTACACAGTCTATTTCCTGCATCTTATGGTTCATGGGTGGTGGGCGCACAGTGGTACAGATAGAAGAGATACTTAGTTTCCTACACCTGTAGCTTGTTTGAAATGCATGAACCCATGTGTGGTTACATTTTCTGCTGTTTGCTTGGCCTCTTAAAGAAACAAGTAGGTACCTATGCTACACTGCTCATTGTGACTCTTAGTTGTTTATACCACTGTCAAAGAATACACTGTGAAAGATTAAGCTTAGTGGTTAGCACCTCCACCCAGCTCTATTACCCTGCTACATGCATCCCATCACCCCTCCACCCCTTTGTAAACACAGCTCCTCAAAACACACCTAACATGAAACACAACAAGATAATTTAAGTGTACATCATACATTTATTACCAACAACCCTCTCAACTCCAAAATTGGGCACAGGGATTAAAAATAAAAATTCATTGCACTACTTAGTAAAGCATTACTAGTAACTTTCATAAAAAATGTACAAACTTTGTTAAAAATTTATCAAGCCTTCAAATGATTTGGTTACAGATATTTATAATACATACATTTAAAACTGTATGTTAACTGATACAATGGAATATGATTTGAGGAAATGACTCAGCAAATGATTCCAACAAACACCCCTGTGAACTTTCATACTCTTAACAAACAGCAACATGAGGTAACCAGATGCGCTATGAAGGACAGACTTCTGAAGAAGGCCTAGAGAGATACTGGGAAAATTATTCTCAGAAGCTGGCAGGCAGATCACACTTGCAATTATCACAAGAGACCCCAAATTTGAGAATTTTAGCAAATTATAGTTCAGGGAGTATATAAATCTAATATGCTTTCACAATTTCAGATTCTGCTAAAAAAAATTCAGGACAGAAAAATCTTAGTATGATTATCTTGATACTTGGAGGCCTTGAGGTGTTTTGTGGAGGTTGGAGTTAAAAAAATACAAAATATGGTGATTCATGCAAAACACAGAAAACAAAACAAAAAACAAACAAACCAAACCCCACACAAACCAAAATACAAATAAAAAGCCCAAACCCCACAACTAAAACCTACAAAAACAAAAAACAAACACCCAAAACTAAAGACTACAAAAACAAAAAGCACAAACAAACAAACAAAAACCCACAGCTGAGTTAAGACAGTAAAGGCCAATATTGTTCTAGCAGAGAGGATGAAGGCTACCAATATGCATTTGTCACCTGGTACATCTCCCCAAAGTGACAGCTAGGCAGAGTCAACTGCACTTTCTCATTTGCTGGCCACAAAGATGCCCACCATGGCTACTTGGACATCACACCAAGCGCGCTCCTAAAATACACTAACCACTCAGAGAACAAAAGTCTGAACCATCTCTAAGAGTGCTGTGCTAAGACAAAACACCCCCAAGGAGACCGCAGTCAGAAATGCAAACCAGAGTCTCACCAGGACAGACCTGATGCCTTCTAAATCGCCAACTACCTCTATTTTTAAAAAATCTACTGGAAAGGGGACTTTATGGCAAACATCCATAGAATAAAGAAAGGCTACTTTCCAGTCATCAGCACAATGTGCCTGGGTATTCAGTGTCTCTGTATAAATTAGGAAAGTGCTTCCCTTGTGTGCATCAATGAAACAAATACTGAGTGGAACAGTGTTACGCTAGAGCTGTACAGGTATAAAGTTTTTGCAGCTATATAAAAGTGTATATATAATATGGACTTGCCATTTTAAACATGATTTCTTCAAATTAAAAAAAGATTAAACTGTATGTGATTTGGAGCTGACTGCTATGTCAATAATTTTGGTTTTTAACACGCCTTTTTATTCATTAGCAACAGGAGGGGGTATCCTAATGATTTAAAAGTAACCACTGTTTCAGTGTATTTCTGACATAAACACAATCTAGGGGCAAACAGAAAGTAGGTCAAATCCTATTTGACTAGATAGAGGCAACAGTGTCTGGAAGAAGAAAAAATTGTGCTTCTGTGTGAATTGACTTTCCTGAACTCTAGGCTGTGATGAGCTTAGAGTCTTGAAGGGAGGGCAAGAATCATGGCAGTAACAAGTAGTTGAACACTCTCCCTATCAGAGTAAAAAAATAGGCCCAGTGCCAATTGCGAGTTGAGTGAGGTTGGCAGCGAGATGTCACATAGTGACGGAAAGGCTGCAGCATGTGAGGCTGCAAACAGATGCCAATAACTCACGAAGAGGCAGGCAAGGCTGAGCACACTGAGAGAAGGAGAAAGGAATCCAATGTTACTGATAAATGACTTCCAACAATCTGATTTAGGGTCAATGAATCTGTTTTGTTTTACACAGCTATGTATCATGCCAGATTAAATAAAGGTCAATTCCTGTTTGACAGCATTATTTCTTTTTATACAAAAATCCAATCTTCATTTACACTGTAACTATTCTGGGTACCTGTTCTACTTTTAGACATCAAAGCAAACCAGGCCTAAGGAATAAGCTGTCACAGTACTTGATCCATTGAAACAAAGGTTTCAATGAGAACTCCAGGACCGGAGTGTGGGAACTCACTTAACACCAACAGAAATCGTTCTCTTAAAACAATTTAGTTGCCCACAGAGGCCTGAGCAAAGAACACACACCAGAAATCAGGCTGAGTTAGGTAACAGATTTTGTTCTGGTGGAAGTCAAGGAGGCAAGACTTATGGGACCAGTGGCATTCTTGAAAATATATTACTTGAACATCTTCAGGAACAGACTACAAATCTACACATTAATAAAAGCGCAGGTCCTTTCTGTAAGACATTACTGGAAATGTAAAGGAAAAACAAGTATCAACACTCAGATCACTGATTGAAATGCTAATATTGCTAATGACGATGTATGATATTGCACCTTCTTTTTGGAAATAGCAAGTTAGAGACTTCAAAGTTTCTTTTACAACAGAATTGAAAAAAAAAATCAGGTCATGGAGTGAGAATCTGACACTTTTTTCTTAAGTGCCCCACTTAGGGTCACAAAGGAAGAGAAGGGACAGCTGCCTGAAGCAAAAGAAGAAGGCTTTTCTCATTCCATTCATTGGGAGGGAAAGGGATGGAGTATTCAATGCTTAGAATTGATGCACCCTTAGCAATCAGTGTGCAACAGCAAACACAAGGGGAAAACCAGTGTACAGTACTAGTGCTGTTTAAATAACACACCAGATTATACATTGCAGCATAATTAAAACTACACACACATTCTTGGTACATGCTGGTATATAGGATCTCATACACACAGTAGCTACCATGCCCCCACACATGTAGTTGCACACACTCTCTCACACAGATTCACTTATCACCAACAGTCATACACGGCACTCATTTCCACTCACAGTTTCTGAAGGCTCTATATAAGGTAGATTGCTATATCATCTGGAGCTACCATTTTTTATAAAAGCACATGCTAAAAGATCACGTCCACTGTAATCTTGCAGCAACACTCGGAATGATCACACAAAAACCAGGGAATGTTAGTGCACACGAAATTAAGCTAAAGAAAAGATCTTTGGAGTTCCAATCACACAGTTAGTATAACAATCCCATAATTGTGAAGACTAATTGTAAGCTTTTATAGTTGATTAAGTCACACAGTGCAAAGAAAGGTCCATTGACCCTTTTGGTAAAGGGAGGGCTGGAAGCCACACAGGTTAAGTTCAATGGATAGTCCATATATACACGTGATGAGGAACACCCAAACTAAATCTGTGCTCTTCGGCTGGTCACTCTGAATCCCGATGCACTTCTGAAGCATCAGCTCGGCAAATTGGGCAAGTACGATTTCCCTGAAAAACAAGAGAAAGCTCACTGTAGTCGTGCCTCATACAGTGAAGTGCCAGGTCTATGGTTACTTCCATATAGTCTTCAAATTCTGTTCCTCTAAAAACAAACATCTCCGCTGGACAGTGGTGGTGCACACCTTTAATATCAGCACTTGGGAGGCAGAGGCATATGGATCTCTATGAGTTCGAGGCCAGCCTGGTCTACAAAGCTACACAGAGAAACTCTGTCTTGAAAAACCAAAACAAACAAACAAGCAACCCCCCCCCCAAAAAAACCGCCTCCTAAGCCAGGGTGGCAGTACAAGCCTGTTATTCCAATGCTTGTAGGTGGAAGGAGGAGGATCAAGATTTTCAAGCCAGCCTCAGGTACAGGAAAGCCTGTTTTAAAACAAAACAAAACAAAGCAAGACAACCTACACAAATCTCCAAGACATACTGTGTTAAACTCATAAACATGATTTGCTCACTAGCTTGGAAAAACTCAGTAACTAACTTAAAATCAAAACCTTGCTTTCTGTGCCTCCCTACCCCACCATCCCAGCAGAACAAATGCAAGGTTGTCATACACACTAATCTAATTCTTTTTTCTGAAACAGGACTTTGATCTCACTCTCCCTTTCCCACATCTTGAGTGCTAGGAATGCAAGTGTATCCCAAAAGCCTGGCTCCAGCCTTCATGAATATTTTTTGTTTGTTTGTTTTGTTTTTTTGAGGCAGAATCTCTCTATTTTATTTATATTTTATTCACATAATTAAGACTATCCAAAGAAATACTTGAAAAGGCCGGGCGGTGGTGGTGCACGCCTTTAATCCCAGCACTCGGGAGGCAGAAGCAGGCGGATCTCTGTGAGTTCGAGGCCGGGCTGGACCGATAGCCTCCGAAACAATACAGAGAAACCCTGTCTCGTAAAAAACCAAAAAAAAAAAAAAAAAAAAAAACTTGAAAAGGACAAGAAGCCTCAGTAGTCACTCTCACAGAGCACTACTATTCTTTTCTTTTATTTTTTTAAATGTATACAGTGTTCTGCCTGCATGTATGCCTGCAGGCTAGAGGCCAGAACAGGGCACCAGATCTCATTTACAGAAGGTTGTGAGCCACCATGTATTGCTGGGAATTGAACTCAGGACCTTTGGAAGAACAGCCAGTGCTCTCAAGTGCTGAGCCATCTCTCCAGCCCAAACACTGCTATGTTATTCTTAACTTTTGAGCTTTTCCAAGCTCAAAGAGAAAGACTAGTCAGAATTAAGTAAAAAGCTTATTCTTGATCTGTGGTAAAGAAAGCCCCAGTGAGGTTCCATGCAAACTCTGATTAAAAAAAAATCTCAATCCTAACTAAGGAGCCCAGGTCTTGAACTACACCAGGATATAATTCAAGAACACAGATAATAGGGACAAACAGTCTGCTCCCCGCTGTCACCATGTTGATGGCCGCAGTTTTCTTTTTTTAAACAATGCTGGAAGTAGACCCCAGAAATCACCCAAGCTAAGCACACACAGAGCCTCTACCTCCAGTCTACTCTTCACTGGACTTTCCAGAGTGCTTCCTCTAAAAGGTATGCTTCCATTTATTTCCCATACCCTGCCTCCCACCAAAATCATGGCCTTACTCAGATGAACCTATGGTCAATAAGAATACAAAACAGTTATTCTCTTTACACGTGTCATCATTTTACCTTAAGCCATTTATCGACACACTTGGCATGGAACTCGTGGTTACAGGGTAAGACTCTAAGAAGCTGCCTTGACTCAAAGTCACACATGCACACTACACACCTGGAAAAGAGCAAAAAGGTCAGTTTTGGTTTTCTATTTGCTATGATGATTATGATTACAAAGACACGCTCAATTATCAAAACATTACTTAACTTTGTTTAAATTACCAGTATTCCTGAAAATGATGATGCTAAGGGATTTACTGGGAGTTCTTTGCTTTGCTAAAAGATTATCAAAACATTTCTAGTTAAGGAGCTAGAGAGATGATTCAGTGGTTAATAGCACTTGTAAGTATGGGATCTAAGTCTGAAGACCCAGCATCCATTTAAAGAGTTGGGCATGGCTGTGTGTGCTTGTAACTCTGACATGCAGAGGCAGAGATGGGGAAGTCTGAGAGTTCCTGGTTGGCCTGTCTAGAAGCAACAGCAAAGGAGCTTAGTGAGAGAAAATAAACTGGAAAACACCCAATGTCCTGTGAATGCACAGGCTTGTGCACCACTCACATGCAGGTACTACATAGTCTACCTTCTAAAATATAACACATCCATCATAAATGACATAACATCAAGTTAGTCTGAAAACTAAAACTACAATACCAAGGTTGAGTGTGGTGGTACACAACTCTAATTTCAGTACCTGAGACAGAGGCAGGCGGATCTCTATGAGTTCAAGGCCAGCCTGGTCTACAGATCAAGTTCCAGGACAGGATCCAAAGCTACAGAGAAACACTGTCTAGAAAAAAAAAAAAAAAAGAAGAAAGAGGGAGGGAGGGGACAAAGGAGGGAAGAAGGGAGGGAAGGAAGAAGGGAAGAAGGCAGACAGGCTGGCTACTGGAATAGTAGGATATTCACATGAAAGAGCATAAAGGTAGATCCATAAATCTTACACCATATAAAAAATTAACTAGGGCTGGGGAGGTGGCTTGGTGGGTAAAGTTTGTTGCATAAGTACGAAGACCAGAGTTCAGATCCAAAGGACTCACATAAAAAAGCTGGGATCTCTGGGTTAAGCTGGCTAGTCAATTAACAAGGTTGAGCGAGTCAGTGAGAGACTCTGCCTTAAAAGAATTAGGTGGAGATGGTTGAAAAGACACCTGATATCAACTTCTGGCCTATACGTGTACACAAATACACATGTACCTGTATATACACAACAAACACATACACATGCAAAATAATTTACCTAAAACAATGAATCAAAGTTCTAGATTAAGTGAAAAAAGTCAATTTTTGTGATCTAAAAGTAGATAAAAATTTTTTTGGCACGAGGAAAATGCCATCATCAACAGAAAGCAAACAACAAAAAGGAACTAAAACAGATTAATCAAAATAAGGTGGGGATACACACTTCAATAGTAAAATGCTTGACTGCATGTTTTAAGGTCCTATTTGATCCTCAATACCACAAAAAAAAACCTCACCAAAAATTTAAGAAATGTGGTTTTTATTTGGTTGTTTTTTTTTTTTTTTAAGACGGTTTCTCTGTGTAGCTCTAGCTGTCCTGGAACTCACTCTGCAGACCAGGCTGGCCTCGAACTCACAGAGATCCGCCTGCCTCTGCCTCCCGAGTGCTGGGATTAAAGGCGTGCGCTCCACATCAGGTTCTTCCTCGACTGCTCTCCACTTCCTTCAGTTCTATAGCACGTTCATGTGGATCCTGCAATGGAGCTCAGGCTACTGCCTGTAGCACACTTACCTCCCGAGCCATCTCACTAGCCCTGACCTAACTTATGTTTATGACAGAGCCTCTTACTTGCTGATTTTGTCTCTCCTTCCCTAGTGCTGGGATTACACAAGTGCACAGCACTGGCCCCCTGATCCCAACTAAAAGTGGGTTCTGGGGCTTGAACTCAAGTCCTTGTGCAAGCACTTTATCCACTGAGTTATCTCCTAGCCAAACCTTGTTTGTTTTTGTAAGATTGTCATTATGATCTTTTTCCCTTCCTTTTTCCTTTTCCAAACTCCCATATAGCCCTCCTTGCTCTTTCAAGTCCATGGTCTTTTTTCACTAATTGTTATTGCATGCATATATGCACATACATATACATCCCTAAATACAGGCGGATCAATCTACATTATGTTACCTATATGCATGTTATCAGAGATGGCCAATTTGTACTACATAACCGAAGACAGTCTTTTACGTTCCAAACAGGCTGGGCTGGCAAGCCCCAGGGATCTGCCTACCCCTGCCTTACCACCACTGGGATTATAAGTGTCCACTGCCACACTTGGCCATTGAACATGAGTGCTGGGACTTGAACTCAAGTCCTCACACTTGTTCAACAAGCACTTTTAAGACCAATCCATCTCCTAAGTCCACAGAATGGGGGACATTACTTGAACATCTTTTATCTGACAAGGAATTTTTATCTTTAATATACAAGAAACTTCTTCAGTTTAGTAACAACAAAAAAAGACAATACAAAATGAAAATGGACAGTGACTGGGAAAAGGTATTTCTCAAAAAATTACTTACACACACACACACACACACACACACACACACACACACACACACACACAGGCCAATGAACACAAGAAAAGATGATTAATGTTAGCACCCTCCAGTAAAAGTAAAGTCAAACCTCAGTAGGCTAACATTTTAAACACAGCAGGACAACCCAGAGACAAGAATGTTCTAAAAATGTAGAAACTGAAATCTCTGTGCATTTTCTCAGGATGCAAAATGGAAAAATTGTGACAACTATCAAAAGGTTAAACAGAGGGCTATGAACATAACTTAGCAACTCACTTCCAGGCAATTCACTTCTTCCCAAGAGAAATGAAAACAAAAACACACAGAAAAATGTTATACAAATGTTCCAAGTAGCATTATTCTTAAGAGTCAAACAATGGAAACAACCTAAATGTACATCAACTATAGAAAGAATAAGCATGGTATATCTAAACCATGGAGTATTTTTTAGCCATAAAAATGAACACTTGATACAAGCTGCTCTACATGGACCTGGAAAAGTTATGCTAATTGGACTTTCTGGGTAGACTGAAGATTACAGTATTATAGCACTGTTTCTCAACCTGTGGGTTGCGATCCCTTGGGGGAGAGGAGTCAAAGAACACTTTCACTGAGGTCACATATCAGATATCCTGCAATGTTAAATATTTACATTACAATTCATAACAGTAGCAAAATTATAGTTATGAAGTAGCAACACAATAATTTTATGGTTGGGGGGTCACCACAACATGAGGAACTGGATTAAAGGTCCAGATATGTGCTGTTTAGAGACACAGGAGATAAGGCATGAAGAAAGAGGGTTGAGAAGATATGGGGAATAGCTACTTGCAAGTGAGAGACGACCAATCTGTGCAGCAGTGAAATGGTCTAAGTGGTGATACTACACGGCCTCATAGACATGCTGAAAACACTGAGCAGGTGAACTTTATGAATTTCAGCTCATGCCATAGTTAAACCTCCTAATGACAGTCACTTGCTATTGAGACTAAGAAATATAAATTGTCCATATGACTATTAACTACCTTACTGGTCAGCACAGACCCAGAATGGCAACTTACCTTTATCACATTTCCTGACACTCACTTGTACTTCATAAAAGTAAGAGAAAACCATGAACAAGAGCATCACAGAAACACACTTACAAAGTCTGCTCTGACTGGTGGTTGTTAGGGTTGAACCTGTAGGAAGGAAGCTGTTCAATATCTGCTTTAGTCAGGCCCCGAGGCTTTGCCTCTCCAAGCCGTTCTGCCAGGTTGAGCAGGGCCTGAAGGAAGGGAAAGGAAACAGATATTCATCTTTCTTTACATTTTCTACTTAAGTAATATCGTGGTAATTACTCATGTATGTGTACGTGTATGCACACACAGAACCATGGAGCACATGTAGTGGTCAGAGGACTGTGTGTGTGTGTGTGTGTGTGTGTGTGTGTGTGTGTGTGTGTGTGTGTGTGTGTGTGTTGGGAGGAGACTGATTCTCTTTGCATCAGGTGGGTCCCAGGGATTGAACTCAGAACATCAAGGCTTAGTGGCAAGAGATTTTACTCACTGAGCTTTCTCTTCAGCCATCCTCTGAAGTAACTTCTATTTTTATTTTAATTAATTAATTAATTTTGAAACAAGATCTCTTTGTAACCTAGGCTGTCCTAGAACTCAGTATGTAGCTCAGGTTAGCTGTAAGCTCATGGCAATTCTCCTGCTTTGGCCTCTCAGGTACCAATATGCCCACACTTACACCTTTTATTTTACAAAGAAAACCCCACATACTTACACTAGAACTGAGTGGGGTTCCTGGGATAACAACCTTAACTTGACTCCTCTCATATTTCTCTGATCTACACCCTGACTTTTTAAGGTTTCTCACATTTGCTTTCAGTAAGTCTATGTTTACAAGAACAGTCATGTCCAGTCTGGAAGTCAATCTCTCCTTTATCTGTTTTATATGGTTCTATTCAGGAGAGGAAGGGCACAGCCACCATAGGAATGATAAACAATTGCTTAAGAATTACTGGGTGCTTTTATCAAAGACAGACCCATTTCTAATACAGTACAGAGATGAATATGCAACAGAGACAGCTGCTCTAACCAAAATGGCTTTGGTACAACAGGTAAAGGCACTAACCACTAAGCCTGACAACCTTAGCTCAATTAATCTCCAGAAACCAACTCTCACACATTACCTCACCTCATGGCAAAAGTGCATGCCCAGATGGACGGATGGACAGACACGTACACAATAGTTTAGACATTAGTTTAAATGATTGACTTATATGAGCCAAAGGGAGGTGGATCACATCTACTACATAATTTATTAAAGACAAGACTTTTCAAAAGAACACAACAGGACTGAAAGATGGCTGTGGCAATTTGAATGTAAGTGGCGACCCCCGAAAGCTCACAGGGAATGGCACTACTGGGAGGGGTGGCCCTTTTGGGGGAAGTGTATCACTGTGGGGGGGGGGTTTGAGGTCTTCTATGCTCAAGCTGCATCCAGTGTGGATTCAGTTCACTTCTTGCCTGCTGATCGAGTTGTACAACTCTCAGCTTTCTCCAGCACCACGTCTGCCTGCACACTGTCATGTCCCATGATGATGGTAATGGACTAAACCTCTAACACTGTAAGTCTCCCCTGTTAGACGTTTTCCTTTATCAGAATTGCCATGGTTATGGTGTCTCTTCATTGAAACCCTAAGACAATGGCTAAGCAGTTAAGAGCACTGCCTCTTCCTCCAGAGGATCTTGGTTCAATTCCCAGCATCCACATGGGACTCACAACTATCTGACACCCTCCTCTGGCCTCCAAGGACATCAGGCACATACATGGTGCACAAACATACATGCAGGCAAAAATCCATACCCATAAAATTGTGTCAAGAAATTTAACATCAAATATCCAATTAATGTTCAAATACTATTGATTATTTTTTTAAACAAGTATTTTATTCAAATTGGGATCCAATACTACCATGGTTTGATATGTCAAGTCTTTTAAAAATATATTTACTCCACGTATGTATCTTTGTATGTTTGCCAATGGAGATTGGGAGTAAGATGTTGAACCCCTTGGAGCTAGAGTTACAGGTTGTTTATGGGCCCCCTGACATGGGTGCCAGGATCTTAACTCTAGTCCTTTGGCAAAGCACGAAGTAATGGTGTGACATCTCTCCAGTCCCTCAAGTCTCTTTTTAATCCTTATATTTGTTGACAAAACAAAGTCAAAGACCTGTAGAAATTCCCAATGTGTGGCTGTCAATGTAGCTCAGTTGGTGAAGTGCTTGCTTAGCATGCACAAGACCCTGGGTTCCAGCCCCAGCACACCATCAAACGAGGTATGGTGGCACCATTAATAGCAGCACTTAAAAGACAGAGGCAGGAATAATCAGAAGTTAAAGGTCAGCATGGGGAACCTGTCTCAAAATAAAAAAGCAAACAAAAATACAGACATTCCCAATGTGACTCTAATGACTTTCCACTTCTGACCTATTTGGTTCAGCACATTTCCTGCCCACTGTATTTTCTGTACACAGAAAGATCTGACTCTTCTCTATTCATCAGGCCTGTCAGGTCCAATAGTTAAATCACCAGGTACTCAGGAACCTGTGATGTCATTAATTCATTAAGGCTGGCAAAATGATACTAATTTCATCATTATTCAAAGAAATTTTCTTTTAACGAGTAACATTCCCCACACCAAATTGTACCCAGTAGTATATAAAGAAAAAGATAAAAAAGACCAATGAATTGGGTTTTTACAAGAGTTTAACATAAAATAATATTTAAAACATGATGTATCACAGGATGTTACAACTATGTTTACTGATTTTACACTAGTATTTCATTCTTCTTGAATTTCTAATGGCTCATTACTTATCTACTTTAACTTACAATTAGGTTGTATATTTTTACAACTCAGGCTGATCTTGAACTCAAGACCCTCGTGACTCAGACTACAAAGCACCAATCCCATTATCATATCTCAAATCTCCATTTCCTCCTTTCTTTTTTAAGACAAGGTGTTACTATGTAACCTGGGCTAGCCTCAGACTTGCTATACTTGTGCTTCCTCCGCTGCAGTGCTGGCATCACAGGCATGTGTCACCCCACCAGGTCCACTTTCTTCCTCTCACTTTAGCTACACATCGTAATCTACATACCACAATGTAGTATAACACTTTCCTTCCTCAACCTTATGCAAACATAAAATAAAATCCCTAAGATTGAGCTCAAACGTCTTTGCTTCCACAAATCTTTTCTGAACACCTAATCAAAACCCACCATTTTCTCATCATTTGCATTCTCTCTTTGGAATTTAACTTGAACAGAAGAAGTCTACTTACTGTAATAGGTATGTGGAAAATGACAGCATATTCTAGGGATGTGTAACAATTTTATGACTTATTTGTATCTTAAAATACAAAGTTAACTAAGAAATGTTCACGTGAAAGTATAGGACAATTATATACAGCACTCCCTAAACTAATCCACACTCATCTACTAACCTCATAATTTTCTACTTCTCCATCTTCCACATCCAATTCAAAGCTGAAAGTTGGGCCCACTGCAGGTGGTACTGGAAGCATTGATCTATAAAGAAAACCACCAAGGAAATGTTAACACAAATAAACGGCAGAAGAACAAAGGCAAATTACATGGATGAAGAACGGTCAGTGTTTACTCAGTGGCAACACTTTAAAGGCAGTGACTTTACTAGGAACAGAACATGACATTTACAATAGCATAACAAGGATAAATGTGAAGGCCAGAGATGTAAAGGAGCTCTCTCAAGCCTGATAATCTGAACCTGATCCCCAGAACCCACACACTGGAAGGAGAAAACCTGACTCCCACAAAGTTGCCTTGACTTTCACAAGGGCCAAGGCATATGTGCACACACTGACACAAAAATGCAATGTAATGAAAAATTTTAAATGTAGGGAAAGACTTAATAAAACATGTAAGGCCTATAAAATAAAAACTGCTAGGATAAACACTAATATATAAACAGACTAGAAAAACTAGTTATCAGTATTCCTCCTCCATATTAATCTATGGATTGAACACAAAACTCCATTAAGCTTTTTATGTCTTTGAGTACAAAATTGATGCTGATTTTAAGTTGGGAGGTTATATTACCTTATTTTAAGACAAACAGACAGGAGAGGGAGGTATGTGGTAAGGGGGAGGAGGAGGAGCTAAAATGATTGGAAAAATAATTTGCAGTTTAAAGATTCATCTGATTTAAGGCATTTGTCTTAGAAGTAATTATAGACAGGGGACTAAGTCCCAGGCGATAAAGTAGCAACAATGGTAATATGTTCCATTCTTGGCAATGCTGTCAAGAGAAGCAGGTAGGCAGAGGAATCTGTTTTCTTTTTAACTTTCATTTCTTTGAGATGGGGTCTTGCTATGTAACCCTGCCTAGCTTGGTACTTTTTCTGTGTAACAGGCTGGCCTTGAACTTAAGAATAGCTTTTCTGCCTTGGTTTTCTGACTCCTGGGATTACAGCGTGCCCCCACACTCCGACTACCTAGTTTACTGACATGATGGCTGGAGCCTGAGGCTCATGAGCATACCCTACAATTAAGGACAGAAGAATCCATTCCCATAGATACAAACCAACCTGAACATGGCCTATCTCTATACTTCGTGATGTCAGAAAGAAAATCAAAAATGAAAACAAAAACCTACCATGTTTAACCCACAATGTGCAATACAGGTAAACTTAATCCTAACAGCCTAGTTCTAAATACAGAAATGACTTGTCTTTTCCAAGAAAACCCCATCAAAAGTGATTCTAGGGCCTAAGAGATGGCTCAGCAAAGGTCTTCCCAGTAAGCCTGATCACCTGAGAGTTTGATCCCTAGAATTCAAGTGGTAGAGAGAACAGACCCTTCCAAGGTGTCCTCTGACCTTCACATACAAGCCATTGTATGCATATGCTCCCCTACGCCATGCATGATAAATGTAAAGAAAGGGTTTTATGTTTTGAATTGACTCTAAAGGCTAAAAAGATGGCTCAACAGTTAAGAGCACTTGCTGTTCTTGTAGAGAACTCGGGTTCAATTCTCACTACCCATATCGTTGCTCACACCTGTAACTCCAGTTCCACTGACCCAATGCCCTCTTCTGCTCTCTACAGGCACTGCATGCACACATGGTATACAAGACACACACACAAAAAGTGATTCTAACTGTATAAGTGGCAAACACTTTAAATTTTTCCACCTTGTAATTTGCTACACAATTTGTTTCAGATTGTTTCCCTCCCCCACTTCTTCCTTAATTGGCTCTCGAGCCCCACAACCACCTAACATCTTTTAACACATACTACTAGGTCACAGGCTGTAGAGAAGGCACTCATAAAGCAAACTCAAGAGAATTCAGTTGAAGGAACTTACAACACATATGGCAGTAAGCTGGGATGATAAGGCGGGGGTGGCATTGGCTGCTGGGATCGGTATCTACTACGTCCTGTGAGTCTCCGAGGCATAAACGGAGGATAAGGCTGTAGGAGAGCAAAAGTTGAGAAGGATCATTCTGTGATTACAAACAATATCAAATAATGAACTTTTTTTTAACTAAAAAGAAAGTTGTTGTGTGTGCATGATGTGTGTAGTTGTACATGTTACAGCATACATGTGATAATCAGAGGACAAGTCTATGGAGTTGGTTCTCTCCTCCTATCATTGTGAGAATTCTAGGATGGAACTCAAGTTGCCAGGCTTACATGGCAAGCACCCTTACACTCTGAGCTACCTTGCTAGTTCCAGCATGGGTTATTGTTTTTGTTGTTTATGTTTTTTTGAGACAGTCTCTCTGCATTGCCCTAATAGTCCTGGAACTCACAATGTACAATGGCTGGCCTCCAACACACAGAGATACAGCTGCCTGCCTCCCAAGTGCTGAGATTAAAGGCATGTGCCAGAACATTCGGCTTCCCCATTGTTTTTTACAGTATGGTCTTGCTATCTAGCCCAGACTGGCCAGGAACCTGCTTTGTAGATTAAGCTGGCCTTGCAACAATCCTCCTTCTTCTACTTTTTCAGCGCTGGGATTACAGGCCTGTGACACCATGCCCAACTGCCACTTACTTGTTCTTTTTTTAAACTTACTGTTCTAGTATCATTAACTAGTTCTTTAATCTTAATATAGATAAAACAATATACACATACATGTGATTTTAAGAATTACATGAGTTCTGAACATTTTCAGTGTCACACTGAAAACAAAGAGAATAAGCTATCAAACAAATAAATGAACATAGTAATGCATGAAACTTACGACGCCAAAGGACACCTCCTGATGCAAAGGATCATGTGTCAGGAACTGCAAAGGTGCTGATGGAGGTAATGTTGGGGGATGGGCCGAAGGAGGATAAGTGAAACTGCCTACTTGAAGATGTTCTCCTAAGAGCTCCACTTCGTTTTCTATCCTTTGCAGAGGCTGTGAAGGGAAAAAGAAATCAATATACTTCTGATGCTTTTCTAAATAATAAAACGATGAAGAAATATTTTCAAGGCCAAGACTGTCTTGATACTCACATCAAACTAAAATACAGGTGGACACAAAATTTCCCACCTGGAATTTTAGTTTGTGTTAATTACAGACTAAGCATTTCCATTATTCATTATAGTACATATGTCTTTTACTACTCAAACTCTCTCTTAAAATGAAAGAAGACATCACAGTAAATTGATTATATGGAAGTTCAAGTTTGAGTTGTCGCAACACCCTGATCAACAGAATTTTCAGACACAGAGCCTCCCCTGATGAACTAGCATATGGTGTATGTATAAGTCAGAAGCAGGCACAGTGGGGTATGGTATAATGGAAATTCGCTCTAATACAAGTCATGAGTTTTAGTGTCAACATGTGACTTTTAGATAATGTAAGTATCAGTACTCTTTTTTACAAAGCTGACATACTCTTAATTCTGTATGTACTGTGGCTGGGCATGTTAGCATATACCTATAATCTTAATACTTGGGGTGAAGACAGGAGGACTGAATGACTGAGGGCAGCCTGGGACACACAGGGAGTCTCCAACTCGTAAACACTGAATCAACAACAACACTGAGTCAGCAACGACTATAAAGCACATTGTACTTCATAGCATGCCGTGTGTTTTCTTAAGGTAAATGTGTAATAAGTGCCCTCGTTGCAAGCTTCTTTTGATTATAATGTCTCATAAACCTGGTTTAAAGGAGACCCTGTTTCAAAAAAAAAAAACATACTAGCCAAGAAAAGAAGAGAAGGAAGGAGAGAAGAGGGGGTAGGAAGGGAAAAAAGGAAAAGGGAGGGGAGAAGGAGGAGGAAAGGAAGAAGAAAAAAAGCTCTTTGGAGCTGCAGAGATGGCTAAAAGGTTTACTCCACCAGGCAGAATTCAGGTCCCAGTACCAACCAGTATTAGGTGAATCACAACAAACTGAAACTCCAGCTCTAGGAGGCTCTGACGCCCTCTTCTGGTCTCTAGAAGTACCTGCACACATGGTGCATATACACACTCTCCCCCCCCCCTTTTCTAAAAAAACAAAGTACTGACAATTACAAGGTTTCCATTTTTCAATTTAGAAATTCAGGAGGTACTGGTGCTTACTGAGCAATCCTGACAACGTGACTTCAAGTTCTAGAATGCACATAAAAGGTGGAAGAAAACCAACTCCACAAAGTTGTCCTGACTAATCATGTGCCATGCCCCCTCCCTCACTCCCAATTACAGAATGCACACACATAATAGTCTTAAAAAATCATTAGAATACATAAAATGAAAAAAAAAAACTAATACCAATTAGGTAGGAATTTTTCTTTGCTTTTAACTGCCTGAAAGACTGCAGATATGAAGGAATAAAAATTTACCTAGGTAATTCTAAAATAACTAAGGAAAAAAAAAAGTTAATTCAAGAGTATGTTTAAACTCATTTACATATCTAGGTTGCTTTCATTCTTTTAAGAGCTGTAAGAATACCAAAGTTATAGTGCTTAAATGGCATCACCCTAAACATTCTGAGAAGCTAGAAACATGAATAGAAATAAACACCTACCGATCGTGACTGCTGTGTTTGGAAAGGGACGAACTGGCCTGGCGGTGGCAAGTGAGGAGGAGGATGGGGAGAAAGGTGAGGTGGGTGTATAAGAAATGGATCACTAGAAATAAGGGGCGGGAACGCAGCGTATGGTACTGGCAAGTGCTGAACTGAACATGCCTGAAGCATCTGTAAGGAAAAGAGCATGACTTTTTGGTTAAAAATGTTAGAATATAAACTTTTCTTGACAAAAATATGAATCAAATTGACACACCTCCCCAAACTCATACAAAAATATCTAACTTATAGTAAGTACTAGAATATTTCTATATCTATCAGTAAGAACTGGCAAACAGTGTAGTGTATACTTTATAATTCTTCCAAATCAGGTATTTTTAAAACAAATGAAATGAAGGTGAGGGGCAACTATGCAGGAAAAGAGCCTCTTCCTCACAATCTTCTCATGATGTCAGCTGATAAGATAGCACAATGCTTCACCCTTTTCTGAGACACCAGTTTGGGTCACTGAATTGCTGAACAGCAATCAGCATGCACAGTGTGCTATAACCTCACTGTAGATCAGGGGATTAAATTTATACTCAGTGCTTTCCTCTGAGGACAGGCAGAGATCTTCTGATCTCAGCCACCTTCATGTTTTGTAAGGAAGTGGAACTGTGGGTCAGAGTACTACAAGATAAAAAAAGCTTTAGAGGGAAAAATTAGTAGTCTGAATCTCGTTTTCTCTATGATATTAAGCAAGTAATTTTACCTTCTAGATCAAGTTTATAGAAATTGGGAATAACCACATTTTCATTAACAGGTTTCTCATGGTAAAAAAGACTGGCACTCATACCCTCTGAAGTCCCAGTGAGGGCTGAGATTGCTAATCCTGAATATTATAGTACTAAGCCTAAGCCTATCTTCATTAAGGGTTAATTATAAACTGTTTATATATAGGAATATGGTTTAAGACACTTAAATGGATATATTTTAATCACTGTAAATAAAATGTATCATAATTTAAAGATAACTTTATTTAATGGTCACTATAATTGTGCTGAGATTTTCATGACAGTGAATTAAACCTTTTACTTGGAAGTGAAGCTACAAAGACAGTTCTTAAATCATATCTGTAAGTCACAACAAAAGCCAGTTGGCATGCTATTTTAAATGGGAAGATCAAGTGAGAACAAAGGAGCAGACTTACTGGAGGAGGCACACTGCACACAGGGAGGTGTTGTCCACTGAAAACCACAGAGCATCCTGGGACTTGTTGTGTGTTGCAAGCAGGGATGTGCTGGCCTGTGCAGAGTGGAATCCCATGGGGTGCCACCGTGGTTACCGTGTAGGAGACAGGAACTGTTCCTTGATGGAGCTTTTAGCAAAGAAAGTAGAACTTTTGAGAAAGTGTTACCTATTTTAAAAATTAACATTTGTCAAAAAATAAAAAAAAGGTCTGGTGGGGTGGGACATGCCTTTTAATTCCAGGTCTTGGGAGGCAGAGGCAGGTGAATCTCAGTGAATTGAGTTCAAGGCCAGCCTGGTTTACAGAGCAAGTTCCAGGACAGTCAGGGCTGTTACACAAAAGAAACCCTGTCTCAAAAAACAAAAATTAGCATTTAGGGCCTGAAAAGGCAGATAAATTGGTAGGGTACTTGTCATATATGAGTTCCCGAGCTTGACCCCAGCACCACACAAACTAGGCATGGTGCTCAAACATGTAATCTTGGTACTGGGTGTGGAGACAAGATGAGAAATTCAAGGTCATTTTTAACTTGGACAGTGTATAGTAAAAGAAAGCTTGGACCAAATGAGACCCTGCCCAAACAAGCATTTCCTGGTTTCCCTGTCTGCTGCAGAGTTTCACAATGTACTTCCTCCTCCACACTCTTCTTTCCTGAGACTTGAGCTTTGTGTAGTCCAAGCTAACCTCTCACTGTGCTGCTCCCGACCCTGCCTGCTTTCACCTCCCTAGGGCTGGGATTACAGGTTGTGATGCCATTCCTTGCTTCCTCCAGTAGCTTCAACGAGAATGTTGTACAGGAAAGATAATTTATGAAGATTATGCATTATCCTCACAGAACTAGTTAAACCCTTCGGCAAAACGACTGAAAACAAGGGCCTGGAGATGGCTCAGGGGTTAGGGGCCTTGTTAATCTTGCAGGACTCCGATTGTGTCCAGTACCACATGACCATTCATGACTCTAGTTTCAAGGGAACCAGCACTCTCTCCACACCAGCACCAAGCATGCATGAGGTGTATATACATATATGCAGGCAAAACACTCGTGTATAAAATAGATAAATCTTAAAAAAAAAAAACCCAACTGACTGTATGTTATCTCTTTCAGCCTACCTGTAAAACAAAAATCCTAAAAACAAATCTTTTATAAAAATGAAAGCTGTGGTTTTTAAAAAGATTTATTCTGTTTTGTTTTTGAATTATGTGTATGGGTGTTCTGTCTGTGGACCATGTGAGTGCAGTGCCCACTGAAGCCAGAAGGCGGCAACAGATCCCCTGAAACAGGAGTTACAGATGGCTGTGAGCTGTCAATTTGACGCTGGAACTGAACCTGAGTCCTCCCTCTCCAATAACAACCAGTGCTCTCCGCTGATGAGTCTTCTCTCTAGCCCAAAGTGTGTGTTTGTTTGTTCACATCCAATATAAAAAGATTTTTATTTAGTTGCAACGGGTGAAACAAGGGTGGTATTAAAAAAATAAATTTGGCTTGGGGATACAGAGCTTAGGGTAAGTGTGCTTGCTCAAAGCCCTGGATTCAATTATCAGCACCCACCATAAACATAAGTAATGCCAAACTTCCCCTTTTCACCTAATATTGTAGCCATCTATGCCTTCCCCTCAATTTTTTGAGGTTAACCAGAGATTTCAAGCATATTTCATGATATAGGTACTCAAACTGTCATTACTCTTTTGCCAATACAAACACAACTATGAAAAAATCATCATGATGTTTTATATTAGTAGTAGTATTACTTATTTCAAACTATACTGGGAAAGAGATGGGACTATATTTCTGATTTTTAAAAAAGAGATTTGTTTATCCTTTGTGTGCGTGTGTGCGTGCATGTGTGTGCCTGTCTGAGGTTGTGTACAAGTGTCTGTGAAGGCCAGAGGTTGTCAGAACTCCCGCAATTTGGGTTACAGGCAGTTTCAAACCATCCAAATTAGGTGTTAAAAGAAACAAACTCAGGTCCTCTGTAAGAACAGAAAGCACTCAATTCCTTCACCATCTCTCTAGCCCCATGCTCAAAAATGTAGAATTTTAACAATTTTTCATTTATTCATTTATTTTTAGGAACAAGGTCTCACTGAAGCCTCAGTTGGCCTCAAACACAGAGATTTGCTGGTGAGTGCTGGGATCAAAGGTATGTGCTACAACATCTGGTTAAACTTCCTTCATTAAAAGGAATGGAGAACTTAGCTACATTTTAGGAACTAAAGAAGCCTACAACAAAAATCAGTGAATCCCATTGAATGGCATTCTGTTACTATACCTGATCATGTATGTCAACCATGACTGCATTCTGCTGGGGTGGATGAGCAGCTGGATGTAACAGACGGGGAGATACATTCGGAGGGTGGAAGGCTCGAGGTTCCTCTATTGCTTGATGCTGTGCATAAGGGAGATGGTGGTAATTTTCATCTTGACTGATGGAATTATGTCGAGACAGACGATCCCTTCTTCCTCGCTGACGCCTAACAGGAGGACTATAATAGGGTAAATGCCAAAAAGAAGGCCATTACTATATGTTTATTAATCAGGATTCTGTATTATTTGTTACCTATAAATAATATACAATAAGGTAAGCTGAGGTAATAAATAATTCCTATGGTTTCCCATCAATTTTAAAAACCAACCTATTTAAATATAAAATTCACCAGTAAATTTTAACATGTGTGGTTCTGCAGGGATCACTGTTACTCATGGGTATTTCCTATTACCTTCGTTTCTACACTTATTAATGGGAATTGTTCCTTAAGGAAAAGTTACCATTCCTCTTTTTTATTAGGGGGGAGGTGGTGCGACATGTCACAGTGTATTTGTGCAGATCAGAGGACAACCTCTGAGAGTTCATGCTTCCCTTTTACTATGTGGGTCCTGGGGATCAAATTACGTTATCAGACTTGGCAACAAACACTCTTACACTCTGAGCTTTCTTGGCAACTCGAGTAAGCACTTTCTTCTCATCTATTTACTTAGTTGTTTATCATGTGCACTTGCTGGGTTGCGACTCATAGTATTGTTTTTATGGGTGTTAAGTGTCCTCCATGCCTCCTTTGTATGGCCACGAGAGAAGAACATGATTCCTTTTGCAATTTAGAAACAATAGCTAGTTACTATCTCATCTGTAGACATACCCTGCCATCCATTTCCTATCTTAGGTTTCTATCTGGTGCAACTTCTGTACCTTTAAATGAAATGTTTGTACAAAGGTTCCTAATAGTACTCTTTATAGTAATAATGAACTAGACATGGCTTTAGGTGGATAAATTGTCATACTTTAATGTAAAATTATACCAACAAAAATAAATGTTTCCATCAGCAATAAACACAGGATGCTTAACAAAGTCAAAGAAGAACACATCTAAATGAAAACAAAACCCCAAACTGCATTGTTTTAAGAATATATATAGGTTGCTGGGCAGTGGTGGCACACGCTTTTAATTCCAGGAGGATCTCTGTGAGTTCAAGCCTGGTCTACAGCGTGAGTTTCACAACAGCCAGGGCTACACATAAAAACCCTGTCTCGAAAAAAAAAAAAAAGGAATATATATATATATATATATATATATATATATATATATATATATATATAAACTACAATGAACAGGGGATCCATAAACTACCAATTTATTCCCTTGGAAGGAAGAAGGCCTGAGATGGCAGGGTGGATGGGCAGTTTATGAGAGGCCAGTTTTAACTGAGGAGTTGGTACATGTTATTCTTTTGACTGTACATTTGTTTCCATGTTCTGAATGCACAACAAACAGTACACCATAAAATAGGAAAAGACTATAATACAGCCAGGTATTTAAGCTATAATGCTTATAGACAATCCTATTTCTCCATACTTATATTTAATAGCTATAAAATAATTTGCACGATATCCACTCATCACTTTACTTACATATTTTCATGTAACTGCCTAATATATAGTACTGGGTATTTAAAAGATGTTAACTGTCTAAACATAACTCTGACATGGATTTATTTTGGCTGATTTAGGATGTCAATGATGGTTTGAAGATCTATTTAATCTTCTCAGAATCATCATAACCCGAATGTCTCAAATAGGACTTTATTACCTCAAGTTCTAGGGCTACCAGTCTCTGATCAAGGTGTAACTGATCTGATGTTCTGATAAGAGCTGCTTCTGGCTTGCAGACACTGTGCCTTATTATCATGTCGGTACATGGCTGGGTGAGTTGTCTGATGCCTCTATTTATAAGAATATGAACCCTATTAGACAAGGGCTCAATCCTACGACCTCAGTCAATCTCATCAACCTCCTCAGAAATCCCATCTCCAAACACAACCATAATGAGGGTTAAAGCTTCAATACATGAGCTTTCTGTATAGGGACAAAAAAACATTTATAGTTCATAACACTTTCCTAACTTATTTATTTCTCTGATTATTGTTATTGTGTACATTGAAACAGGTACCTCAGTCCAAATGAGACACAGATTTCCTTGGAATAATAGAGTGATCTCTGGCGGCTAAAGGACAAGGAGCTGAGGAAGAAATTAGCTCCTCTGAGAAGGAAAGGCAAGGACGAAGTTCTACTGAAAAGATGAACTGAATTTCATCCTAACGTCACACCTATTTTGTAAAACACAACAAAAATCCAAACAAAAAACAGCTCTTAAGATATGAGAATACTGGACAGGCAGAAGTAGATCATCCCCATGCTCTAATGTATTCTTACAGTCCTGAAGTATAGAACACATTTTTTTCAGTTATCTAGATTTTAGGCTAGCCCATAAGGGCATGTTGTGTGTTGGAGAGTACTGACTGAATGCAGGACTTTGTGGATACTCGGTAAATAAACTGTTGTCTAGCTTCATAATCACTCCTAAATCACAAGATAGCTAAATGTATATGTAATGGCACAGATTAACTTTAGACAGCTCTAATCTCTTTCAGTCTCTGAAGAGCTTAGTAAACTCTTCATAAACTAAGATAAGCACCTAAACAACTTTTAATAATTTTATGCATGAATATACCCATATGCATGTACTGATATGCTTATAAAGTGTCCATAAACTATGCTTTCTGACACTAAAAAAATTTTCACAAAAAATATTCACAAGACTACAGTGAAAGGAAGGAAATAAACAATAATCCATTCACTAACCTTCTTCTGTTGCGTGCAGGTGTGTTGCATCGTTCCCCTGAGAAATGATGTTGGTTTGGTCGAACTGAAGGGGGCTGCCTATTTGATGTCATCTCCCATGGTCGCATTGGTGGTGAGGGAGCTGGTGATGCTGACGTATAATCAAAGACTGAATGAGAGAGGCGCTGTCTCTTAGGACTTGGACTATCTTCACTCTGCCAATGCAACAAAAATGATCAACAAAAAACAAGGTAAGAATTTCACATTACTGCATATGCAATATGTTTTTAAAAATATATTTGCCACAAAAAAGTAAAGGATATACATTGCACTATCAATCCAAATTAAAAATCCTAAATTAAGAAACGTAGGGGCAGGGGCAAAGAGAAAAGGGTTACACATGAAAAATGAAATGTTTCAAAAACCAACATGCTAGATAACAACATGTAGTGTCTAGAACAGAGCAGCTGACTTTTATATAATACCTAACTTTCTAGAAGTCCTAGTCTACCTGAGACATGTCATTATTCTTTAGGTAGTGACAGTGTCAAGTTTGCCAACCCTTCCTCCTGAGTAGGCCCCAAACTTGATGCTAAATCACACATCTCTACCATTCTTTTTTGAGCTGTTACTAATACTTCTGTGACAGTTACATGGACAAAATAAAGTTTATATAAAGCAGAGTCAACTGATTAAGATCAATGATTTTTTTTAGAATGTCCTAGCACTTGGGGAGTATCCTCCAATGTTGAAAGGTCACAGTATAAGATTTATAGCTATAAAAGTCACATGGTCATGTAACTGTTACTAACTTCAGGATTCCCTAACCAATTAAGTCTCACCAAAACTGACAAAATTCCAAATTAGCTGGAATCTGACAGGGATATGTTTGGTTTTTTTTTTTTTTTTTTTTTTTTTTTTGGTTTTTCGAGACAGGGTTTCTCTGTGTAGTTTTGGAGGCTGTCCTGGCACTCGCTCTGTAGACCAGGCTGGCCTCGAACTCACAGAGATCCGCCTGCCTCTGTCTCCCAAGTGCTGGGATTAAAGGCGTGCGCCACCACCGCCCGGCTCCAGGGATATGTTTTTTGGAAGAACTGTTCCTTTTTCTAATCTACACTTCCAAGTTCTAATTATTGGGCATTAGAGTACTTTCGGTTGGTTTTCAAAATAATTTGGTTTTATTTGAGGTAAATACAAGTACATCAAACATTAGCAAAATACACAGGGATACATACTACAATATTAACTTTTTAAAAAGGGTTATCTTTATTCTATGTGTATGGATGTTATGCCTGAGTGTCTGGGCACCATGTGCATCCAATGCCTATGCAGACCAGAAGAAGACAGACAGCTGGTCCTCTGGAACTAGAGTTACAAACGGTTAGCAGTCGTGTGGGTGGCTAGGAACTGGACCTAGGTCCTCTGCAAGATAACACCTGCTTTCAACTGGTGAACACCTTTCTAGCCCCATATGTCATACTCTGAAAGAGATTAAGTTACATTTGACCTTTCCAATTATTTAGCAGGTGCATCACCAAAATATCACCTAACCCATATTGTCTTAATGATATTATTTATATATACTTGTTTTAATTTTATTTTAATAAGAGTCACTTTTTACATTCCGATAGTCCCCAAACTTTAAGCATGCACAAAAGCAAGATTACTGCCAAGTATCCCAGGCAGGCCTCCAACTTGCTGTATAGCTAAGAAAGACTTTGAACTTCTAGTCCTCCTGCCTCCTTGTCCTGAATGCTGGAATTACAGGCCCAGTTTATATGGTACCCCAGTACAGACATTTTTGTTTTTGAAGATGGTGTCTAAGTAACCCAGGCTGGCCTTGAACTCACAGAGAACCACTTACCTCTACCGCCTGAATGTTGGGATTAAAAAGGTGTGCCCCACTTACTCAGAAAGAATTCCTATTTCTGATATATGATTCCCAGTGATACTTGATACTACTAGAACCAAAATTCCCAAAACACTGAATTAAGATAGAAGGGACTGTCTTTTTGAATAAAATTTTGTTTGGAATTCTCAAAGAGAATTCTTTATTGTAACAGTGGGCTAACTTTTCAGTGTACCAGATGTCAACAATTTAATTGTTACTGTCTCTACTGTACAGAACATTGGTACAAATTAGGAATTCACGGAAGGAAGGAGGCAGGAGGGCACACATGTAGTTTAACAATGAACATCACAGAAGCAGCAGGTCCCACGTTCTGCTTGAGGACTAACTGTGCCTGATGTTAGCAACCACTCTACTTTTCCAAGATTTCATCCCAAGGGAGAGAGAATCAGCTTGTGTTGGGAGGTGTAAAGGTTCATCTTGACTGCTGGGGGTTGAGAATGACTATGGAATCAAGCCTGTAAGCATGTCTGAAATGAAAAGATCCATCCTAACTATGGTGGTCCCATTCCATGGGCGTGGGTCTCAGACTGAACCAAAAAAGGAAGAAACTTCTGAATTCGGGGCACCCGCTGCTTCATGTTCCTACTGGCGCAATGGACTTAACCTCAAACGGTGAGCTAAAAGCAGGTTTCTTGCCTGACCTAGTCAGGTAATTTGTTGAAGCAACAAGAAAAGAAACTTAGGTTTCCTCCAGTTTTATTCAGAACTTCATCTTAAATCAAGCTTAGCATGATCTAAAAGTTTCCTTCAAACTCCCAGACTTTAAAAGATAAGACTTGTAGAGGTTTTGGTTTAACAAAATATGAGGTTTTGGTTTTACCTTAAAAAAAAAAAAAGTCTATTGAACATACACCAGGAACAACAAACTCACTTACTTTTATCTACCCTACATACATGTGAGTGCTGCAGAAAATGCAGTAATACAGAAAGGTAATTTGCCAGTAAAGGGTAACTTATTTACTTATTTTTTTGTTTTACATTTTGCGATGGATGAAAACATAAGCTTGGGAAAGTAGGAAATTTTCTGTTCAGATCACAATACAGTTTACAAAATGACTTCTACATTTTATCTCATTTAATGCTGTACAAGCTTAAGTCAAACTATGCTCAGATATACTTAAAATATGTTTTTCTTGGTAAGGCTAATTATCCCTTATTTACATACCATGTATTAAATTATTCTCTTTCACCTGACAGGTATTTTGATGTATAGCTCTGATACTCTTGAATGAAAAAAGATTTCATTATATAGCCCTAGTTCTCAACCAGATAACACATACATAATTACAAAAAGTCAACAATGCACAAAAATTCTGAAGCATGAAGTTTTCTGTTTGCTTTGCTTTGTTTGCAACTAAAAGGTATAGTATAAAACAAGCAAAGGAAACAGGAAGCAGGTAGGGGAGATGGCTCAGTAGGTTAAACACCTGCCATGTGGGCCTGAGTTCTATCTACAAAAGCCACATAAAAAGCAAGGCTGATCCTAGCACTGGGGATGAAGGTAGACAGGAAGGTCCCTGAAGTTCACTGGCTAGCCAGTGTAACCTAATGTGCTGAGTTCCAGGCCACTGAGATCCTAAGTCAAAAGGCAAGGTGCAAGCACTAGAGGACTAAGGTTGACCTCCGCATCAACACAAAGAAAACAAGAACAAGGATAACAAAATTGGTAAAGTTTTTTTCATTAACACTGGGGAGAGGCTAAGGAGACAGCCCAGTCTCTAAAGTGTTTGCTTATAAACCTCAGGACTTGGGTTTAAAGCCCAGAACTACTTTAAGAGGGCAAGCATGGTGCACATGTGTGGACCTCCAGTGCCTGGGAGGCAGAGACCAGTGGAACTCTGGCCCCTGCCAACCTAGCCTGCTTGTCTCCATGTTAGTGAAAACTGTCAGAAACAAGATTAAGGAATCAAAGTAATACTTCCTCTAACAAATTGTTTTAATATAATGAACCCTATATCCAACTCCATGCTTGCAGTAAAAATAATTATTTTTCACCTAAAGAAGGCTACAGGGGAGTTCTTGGAAAATGGGAAATTCACCTAGGAAACAGAGAGGGGCTTTGAGAGAAAGAGAAGAAAAAAAAGCTGGCAGTAGAGACAGGGCCACCACAAATCCAAGGCTAGTCTGAACAATCTAGCAAGTCCTTGTCTCAAAATTTTAACAAAATATAGCCCACCCAAACAACAACACAACAAAACAAAAACAGCAACAAAGGAAGGCAGAGCTGGAGATGGCTTAGCACGAAAGAGCACAACATGCTCCTCCACAGTTTGACTCCCATTACCCAGGTAGGTGGCTTGTAACTCTCCAGGGGCCATCCACGACTGGGGCAACAGCAGGAGAAAAGTTCTGGTAAGGTCTAATACTGATGATGCACCAAAACAAGACCAACAATTCACTGCAAGGAACATTTGCAAGTAAAGCTATTTGGACAAAAGGGTATAGGGCATGATACACTACAGCTCCCAATATGATGGAGAGGCAAGACAGAGGAGCGAAAATGTTTTCAATTTTCTTTTTTGGGGGGGAGACTTTTTTGGGGTGGAGGAGGACATGAAAGGGCTGGGAAATGAGTTTCAGTGCATGATGTGAAATTCCCAAAGAATAAAAAGAAAAAAATTAAAAAGTTACAAAGCAGTTATCTAAGAAAAGCCAAAGACAAGAAAACACAGTAAGGGAATGACTCTGAGGATTTCCTTCTCACGTGGTAACCAGATTTTATACTTACTTATTTATATTTATTGAAGTGTGAGTTCAAGTCCCTTACAGTAGAGTTATAAGCATTTGTATGCTGTCTTCAGTGGGTATTGGATCCAAACCCTACTGCTCATAAGAACAGGAAGTGCTCTTAACCACTGAGAATGTTGAGTAATGCCTGCAGCCAGCCAGCCAGGTTTTTTAGGAGAGAAGTATTGCTGGAACTAACAAATGACACTCATTTTGACATGAGAATTAGCTAATCTATCAGTATCTCCTCAGGACTTCATCTACTTTCTCACCCAGAAAACCTACAGAGCAGTAACTGAACAGAGAAAATCTCCGGTCTTCCCTTGGAGAAAACAACAGTGAAAGCCTTGCTCTAAAGGTAGAGGACAACTAAATAAAATAAGCACAAGAAGCAAAATTATAATGTTTTTTGCTTTTCAATAAACCCTGGGGATTAGAGTGTACCATGACTATTTAGAGGGAGTAATATGACTAGTTAGTTGGAGGGTACACCTATAACTACTTAGATGATGTAACATATGATTAAATAGAGACTATAGGATATGACTAGCAGGGATAAAGCTCTAGGTTCAGTTG